TGCTGCAGCCCCGGGCGAGTCATAACGATACGCACCCGGCCTTAACACACACCTCACTCATCTTTCGAGGGCCGGGGGGGGGCTATTTTGGTTTTCTCTTATGACTCGATTGTGCGGAGCGCGGTTCGGACTGTCTGTATGTGTGTGTAATAACGATGAACGCGCTATCTGCTTGTTGCTTGGTGTCAATATAAGTGTGTGCGTGTGTTGAGAATGGACGGAGAGTCTGCTGTATTTGCTGAGTGTCAAATTGTGTGTGTGCGCTGCTGCGTGGAGTTGTTATCTTGATGGTGAAGTTAATTATTAACTTGGGAGCGTCGGGTATCTTGCGCTGTATTATTTGTGGGTTACCTTGTGTGATGGGCTTAATTGGAAAAAAATATATATTTTTTTTTTTGGTGTATTGTGCTGCGAGGTGCTGTGTGCGATGCGATTGTTGCAAGAGAGAGAATAATTGTGTTGTTGCTGCAAAGTTACGACAGGATTAATGGTGTGTTGGTTGCCTGCAGATCTGCTTGCTATTGTGCTTAAATGTGCGCGTGTGATCGCGATATGCTGATTGCATGTGCTGTTATACCGTTCTGTATGGTTATGGGGTGCGATGCAGTGGTTGATTATTGGAATTGGGATTGTTATTATATTGTGCGTACCTGTTGGAAATTGGTAACAAATTCGAGGGGGACCCAAATAATTGGTTGTATGGTTGTTGTGCACACGAGATTGCGTGTATATTATAGAGGGGGACCCTAAAATTCGGTTGTATTGGTGTTGTGCACACGAGATTGCGTGTATATTATAGAGGGGGACCCTAAAATTCGGTTGTATTGGTGTTGTGCACACGAGATTTCGTGTATATTATGGGTAATTGCGCTTTTTGAGAGAGAGAGCGCGCTTTGAGGGTGCGTGATGACGCCGTTGTGGGTGTCTCAAAGGTTAATGCTAATGCGACCGTAAATTGGCGCAAGTGGCGTCGCGTATTCGGTTGATCGCATGCAACCACGAGTTGCTTGGCGAGTTGGGTTGTGTAACCAATGTGGTTGGTAAAATATTGGTTAAAAATTCCACGATATGACAGCTGTGCGCAGCAAGCTGGGGCTGTGCGTCTATCGTTGGTGGGGTTGTTATAACGTGACGGGGGATGCGTCTTGTGACCCCCAGCTAAGGGAAGCTGGGGTGCACGAATGGAGAAAACTGGCCACGTGTTCGCACGTTGGGCCGCCATTTTGCGCGCACGCGGGGTATGGCGACGATGCGCTTTGCGGAAAGGGCCGCCATTTTGAGTGCGCGCGAGAGATTGCGCGAACGCGCTGGGCGAAGGGGGACGCCATTTTTGAGCGCGCGGGAAAAACCGGGGTGGGGCAAATATTCCATCTGTTATGCCTGCCATTGTTGATTGGGTGATGCACGAGTTGTGGTCACATCGGCCTATGGCTGATGGCTGACCTGACAGCCCGGAGGCGAAACCTCCGTGGTATGTCTTAAACTAATGGGCCATGTGCTCATATGGCTCGGGGAGTCATGGTTCAGTTGTGCGGGGGCAGACTGAACCTGGTGTGCCGGGGGCTCACGGGATCTGGGTTAGGGTGTTATTGTCTCTATAAGAGAACATTGCCCCGTGGGGGGAGTACAGGGGGTCTGGCATTGCTGGGGGATGAACCTTCCCTGGGCTATAAAGCATCGGACTATACGAGGCTGGTGTGTGTCCATCTCTGATGGGATAGTAAGGGAGGAGCGTGGCCGAGTTGCTGCTCATCCCCGAAATTGCACTAGCTGAGAGTATGGTCAGTGGATGTTGCTGTGGGTTGACGACCACGGTGGGGGTTAGGGCGAGTTAAACGTTACCGCTGGGGAGCGTGGCTCTCTCCACGCGAGGGTGTGCGATTAGGCGTTTTGTTGGGTTGCTGAGAGTGACCGTGGGTACATGCTGTGTATGTGCGATGTCTGCTGGTCCTCAAGGGAGGACTGCTGGTGGGTAAGAGCAGGAAATTTTGTTGTTGTTGTTGTCACGTGTAAATAATATTGTTGTTAAAATGTAAATACTGGGGCATCCATTGCGTTATTTTGGGTATTTATGGGGAGTTTTTTTTAAGCGGGCTGGATTTACATCATCTCCACTACCCTGAGGCCGGGTGGCTGTCGTGTACGACATGCGGATGTGCGTTGTTGTGCTGTGCCTCAGGGGATTGGATTCTCCTTCTCGTCACAGATTCTTCAGCTCCCGTCGCACTGGGTGTTACCTGGTGTGCTAGCTGGATGAGGACTTGAAGGAGCAATTGAGCGCCGTTCGTCATTCTGCTCTACCACTTGCTCTTTGACGTTGGACTTGAGCCGAGCGGATGGAACTGCAACATGGACACGCACTAAAACATCACATTTCTGGGTTGTGCGCGTTGGCCGTTCTTGCGTGTCAGTTGCCGTTTTTGTTCATTGTGCCATTCTTATTCTTGTTGATGTTGCGCGGAGGACAGGCCGGTGTTCTGTTCCAGTTCCTGATACCTCCCCTTTCGTTGCTTGTGTTGTTGTTGTTATAATCTCCGTTGTGTCTGGGGGACCCCTGATTGTGATGCCTTCGCCCGCATTATTTTGTTCTGTTTCAGCCGAGGACGGCTGGGATTTTCTCTACGGGGGAGGGTAGTGTAATGCGGGCGTAAATGGGCGGGGCGGATATGACGATCCGAGAGGGAGGAGTCAGGGTGACGTGGGGGAGAAGTTATAGCGGGGAGACAGGAAGCTATCTGGGGAGTCGGGGGAGTGAAGGGTGGTGAACACTTTGGGTGGTCGCCGTGCCTCAGCCTGGTGGCTGAGGGGCTCATGACGGCGCCAGCCAGCGGGGTGGAAGAGAGAGTGGAGGATTGAGGTAGGAAGTGGCGAGATAGCCACAGAGGCCACGAAGGGCTGAGGTAGGAAATGGCGAGATAGCCACAGAGGCCACGAAGGGCTGAGGTAGGAAATGGCGAGATAGCCATAGAGGCCACGAAGGGCTGACATTGGGAGGTGGCGAGATCGCCACGCACGGAGGAACAGGGAGCAGAGATGGAGCTGCTGGGGGAGCAGCCAGAGGGCTGTACCAAGAGCCTGCAGCGGAGCTGCAGGAGCGTGGAAGGCTACGGGAGCGAAGGCAGATGTGGGGCTGCCAGGGAGAGAGTCTCAGGAGGAGTGCCGTGTGGGAAGGAGAACGCGAACCCCAAATAAAGGACACGGAGTCAGCAAGAAGTGTCTGAGTCCTTTTATTACATATGGTAACCAAAACTATCACGTTACCATACATAGCAGGCGTGACCAAAAAGATCTCCAAAATTCTAAACAAACATAAGATCCAAGTCCGATTCAGTACAGTGCATAAAATCCGTGATCTGATTCCATCTGTGAAGGATGTCGATCCTGACTTACAGTATCCTGGAGTCTACAAATTGAGTTGCATTTGTGGTGATTGCTACATTGGTGAAACGAAACGTCATGTTTCTGATCGTGTCCGCGAGCACAAGTCAGATCTGAAACACGGCAGAACTGATTCTTCGGCCGTTGCCGATCATTGCTACAACTCGGTGGGCTCTCATGAAATTGTCTTTTCCGAGACCAAGGTTCTCTGCAAACCTCCCGGCTACCATCAAAGGTTTGTACACGAAGCCATACAAATATACAAACACAGACATAATTTCAACCATGATGATGGGTACAAACTTAGTAATCATTGGAAAGATGTTATTAACCACGCAAAAAAGACTTAATTACACTTTTTTGGACCATCTTATCTGACAGCCACTATCTTACTTTACTTTACCGAGTGTTAACATCCCCAATATTTAACAGTACTCTCTTCATTGTTCAGCCAGCATTGGTATAAACATGGGCATTGTTGTTCTTTTCTATCATGTGTATCAGGCCTCCCCTCCCCCTCTCTGTCCAATGCGTTGGCGTTGTGCAACAGCGTCGATGCCGTCGTGCACTCTATGGTCCCGCCCTCCCCCTCCCGATGCGTTGCACAGTTTTGGCCCCGCCCCCCCCTCCCCCTCCCGATGCATTGTACGTTGGCACTCCTTGCCGTCTTTGAGCCCCGCCCCCCCTCCCTCCCGATACGTTCCATTCATTGGCTACCACATTCTGATTAGCTCCCCCACCCCACTCTTCCCCCTCAACTTGCTTGTTAAGGGATTACATCTTGAATCATTGCCTCACTTGATGCAGCTAATCCGGCTGTGACGGTCCCACCTGATGACGGAGACTTGTGTTGCCTCCGAAACGTCGTGATTTTTGTTTTATTTTATTTTTTATTAATTTTGATGTTTTACCTACGTGACTTTACCGAAAAAACCTAAGAATACATTAATAATGTGTGTGTGCAGACAACTAATATTTCGATTTCTTGCTTCTCTCGCTAAACTCACATTTAGAAAAACGTATTATTTAAATAATCACCTTGCAAATATTACACTAATCATGTTTGTATGCCGACAACTAATATTACTATTTATTGCTTCTTTCGCTAAACTCACGTACATAGAAACCTATTTAGTTAATAATCACCTTGTAAATATTATAATTTTTTTGTTTGTGTGCTGACAACTAATATTTCTACATTAACTTAGTGATTAATAATTTATTTATTATTGTGTCTAAGTTTTTGTGTGCGTGTGAGTCCATGTACGTGTCTGCGATGATGTTAGTGTGTGTACGTTCGTGTGTGCATAAGTCAATGTGTGTGTGTGCAAAAAAATAACTTTGCAAATATTAAATTAATGTTTGTATGTTGACAACTGCATATTACATTAATAATGTTTTTCATAATAAAGGTTTCTGGGTTAGATCGCGTTATTTATAAATGTGTCGCAACCCTCCACCACCCGACACGGCCAATCGGTAAAAAATGTGTCACGTTGACAAAAGATAAATAGTTAACTGCTTTAGCCCACCGGTGTGTTGAAGCGTGAATCGCTAACAGTATTCGCCCCAACAGTTTTTTTGAAGGCTATATGGGGATCTTTGTCTCTTGTGCGCTGTAGCCTGGTGATCGACGCCCTGCGTGACATCGACCCCGAGCGGCGCTGCTACCGCATGGTGGGGGGGGTGCTCGTGGAGCGCACCGTCAAGGAGGTGCTGCCCGCCCTGCAGAGCAACAAGGAGCAGGTGGGGATGGAGGGGTCTCCGCTCCGCATCCCACTGTGCGGCGTGTTGCGCCGTGTCGTGTGTCGTGTTGTGCCGTGTCGTGTTGTGCCGTGTGTTTTGTCACTTGTTGTATCGTGCCGTGTTGCGTGTTGTGAGGTGTTGTGCCATGCGTCGTATCCTGTTGTGTCTTGTGTCGTCAGGTGTTGTGTGTCTTGCCGCATGTTGTACCATGTCATGTATCATGTCGTGTGTCTTGTCGCGGGTTGTATTGTGTCATGCGTCGTACCGCGCCGTGTATTGTGCCGCCTGTTGCACCGCGCCACCTACCGTAACCGTCCGCCTATATCCCCGCGGTCCCGCCCCCGCAGATCTCGCGGCTGCTGGAGGCGCTCGCCCAGCAGGTGTCGGCCAAGGGGCGCGAGATCAACGAGTATCGCGAGAAGCACAACATCCGCGTGCGTGGCGAGGCCGACCCTATACCCCTCGCCGTCGCCGGCAGCAGCGGCGGCGGCGACGGCAGCGACGGCCAGATCCCCGCCAAGCCCAGTGCCGCCGGCGTGCTGGTGTCCGAGACCGGGTAGAAGACGCGGCGGCAACGGGCGCCACCGATGGAGAGCGGGGGGGGGGGGTGGCGTGGGGCTGCGGTGATGGGCAAATCTGGTGGAGCGTGCGTGTGCGGACATGCGTGGCAACTGGCGTGAGCGCAGCGTGTGCACCGCCTCGCACCGCCGTATGCGCAGCATAGCCGCGGCGCACAGTAACGCGTCGTGGAACGCAGCGTCCCTTTGTTGCACGTGTTTGTGTGTATGTGGACAGCAAATGAAACGCAACAACAAGCAGTTCAACACGGAACACTCGCACACACTGCACACACTGGACGAGCACACAGCATGGTACAGAGCTGCCCATTGCTGCACACATCCAGCACCACACTTAACACCGCACCACCCTTAACACCACACCACCCTTAACACCGTTCACTACTCTAAACACCGAACAGTTACATAGTGTTCCATAATTTTACACACTCTACGATGCAGCACCGCACCATTCAACGTAGCACTGCACTGCAGAACCGTTTACAGCACAGCAAATACACGCTATGCCGTACAGCATAGTGCAGAAGTCTAGTGCGTATCACTGGACTGCACACAGCATAGCACGCTTCACCCCACGAAGCGGCAACACACTGCGAGCTACGTACAACACAGCTAGTGCAGCATGCGACGGCACCACCGGCGAGACTGATGCACGCACCACACAACAGGTCTCCCCCGCCACGCGATCGTGTAATTTCTTACCGATAGTCACGAAACCCTTGCGACGAACGAGTTGAGCGCCCTGTGCGTGTGTGAGAATGTGTGCGTTTTTTTTTTATATAAGTTAATGTCAGCGTGTGAATCCCCCCCACCCCCTTCCAAATGCATGGGTTTTCTCCGGGCACTCCAGTTTACTCCCCTCCGAATGTTCGAATGCAGTGAGACTCTCCCACCAAAGAGCCTCGAGGCTTACGTGAGGGTTTGCCTGGGTCTTCTGAGAGAATTATATTTGCTTGGGCGCGATGGTCGTCGATTCTCTGCTCATGGCCAACACTACCAGTAAATATATCTGAGCCGGTCCGAGGCTTCCCCGAGGTCGACTCGGCCTCAAATGAATACCTGGTACGGTGGAGACAAAGGCGGCCGGGCGTGGTGCTGGCCACCCACCCCCTCGTGTGCTGTGCCGGCCTTCATAGGTGCTCCTCGCCAACGGCACTTGCCCCAACAATCTGTTGAGGCTATACGGGGGGGGGGGGGGGGGGAGTCTTTGTGCGTGCGTCAGTCCACAGCCGCTCCATGCACAGCTCGGCGACGTGGTGGAAACTGGAATCTAACCTCCCCTGTCACTTCGAGCAGCGTTCGTCGTCTTAAACCAGGGCTATGGGAAAACTATTGACTTCATTCCCCTGTGGCCACGCGGTGCCATTTCGCATGCGGCCCAGCACTTCCATTCGAGTGCGCAGATGACGGTGCTCCGTCGCTGCAACAAGTCGCATCGCGGCCTCGCTCGGGTGCTAGAGAAGGGGAATGACACGCGGCGAGCCTGACGCAGCTCTACTTTTCTCATATCCCAAGCTCTCAAGGCAATTTGCGTCACTGCAAGGAATTTTTTTTGCAGTGACAAAATCCCTGAGGTGTATTGTGTGTGTGTTAATGCCTGTTTTTTTCCAGTAATTGTTCCCCAGCCCTGCTCCTAAGCGCAGAGAAACCACGTTCACCAGAGCGCAGGGCTTCAGAGACACTGGTCCTCTCGGCCCCCAGCCGATGTACAAATACACACATACCGATTGTCGGCTACTGGCTTGCAATGACCCCGCGGAGTGGTGGGATGCTATGGTGAGAGAGCATGGCTCGCTTGTTGGAAAGTTCAGAGTTAAAATCCCGGCCAGTGGACAATTGGACTTTAAATCCCTCCAATGTAAAAATAAAGTATCGCTTTCTAAAAATGCAACAGTGACTGTTCACTACTGAGTGGGCACCCACCCCCACCATATGAATGTGGAGTTGCCACCACAGTCTGAGAGATTAGCACCTTACCACTCATTTAAGTGGGCAACCACTTTAGCATGACCACCCGTGATGTACCATGACTCTGGACTGGCTGCCGTACATCAAGGAGCCTGGTGAAAGTGTGGAACGTTGGGCCAACGGTTCCAACCGCATCGCAACGTTGGCTCGACGTTGCGTATTTTCCTGGGGGGGGGGAGGATGGGTGATCGGTTGCAGCGTTGGCTGCAGTGGGGGATGGGAGCTTTGGAAATCCTGCACCAGATGAAGCTGCCAGGCTGCTGCTCTTGCTGTCGGTGTCGATACAAGAGTGAACGATTAAACGGCAATGGTTTGTTGATATTGTAAGCTTTCAGTGTTGTGCTTATCATATGTGATCATGTCAACTTACAGTGCACTGCCGCACAGTACTCGATCGTAGAGAGAGAAAATTACTCGAGGGTGCTAAGAGGAACCACAGACAAGGCAGGTGGTGAGCCAACGCCAGGAATTGCCAAAGCCCTGTGGTCCTATACATATTAAGGTGTTCATTGGCCAATTAACCCGTTCCTGTCTGCAAGTTGCAGGGTGTGTTCGGTCGTCCCGTTCACCGCCGAATCTCGGAACGCGCGAGCGTCTGCATTAATTTTATTTAGAGAGGCGTCGTAGCAGCGCCGTTGTTTTTAAAGACGTACTCTCCAAAGAAAACCGTAGCGACACGACCGCCACTGCATCAGGTGCTCGTTTAAGGTGGAGTCGACCTAGGGTAAGACCCAGGACCAGTTCGGTTATTCTTTCAACGGTGTGAATGGGAATCAAACTGGCTACCAGAATTCGTAGCGTTGCACGCTTATCACCGTGCCATCGCTCGCCCAAAATTGTTATGAAAGAAAGGGTAGCACCGTTTAGAATATCCCTCGCAACCAGCTTGATGGACAGATCTAGCTCCATACAGCCCACAGGCATAATAATATAGCACAGCATTGCTACCGAATATGGGCGAGAGAAAACTTTTGCAACACACTGCAAGATACTAATTTCCAATCCAGCTGTCTCGTCCTTTGTTCTGTTATCTCCGCTGTCCGCCATATCTCTCGGAACTCTCCCTTGAACTCCTCGTTCCAAATTGCTGCTGCGCCCTCCCCCACCCCCGGGACGTCGTCTCCGTGCCCTGTTCTGTATCACGCGCTGAGCTCGTTCTTGAACCCTACTCATGTCCTCCGCTAACCTCTCCTTTCTGGATACCTTCCCACACCTCGAACCGACTTTCCTCCCCATGCGTCCAAGTTGAGCGGCGACTCTGTCCTCGCCTTGCCACCTTCCCCCAGCTCTGCTCCGACTCTTTGTCCTCTGTGGGGACTTCCAACTTATTTTTTTCTGCCCACCGCAACACTCCAATCCACCACGTCCCTCACCATCCTCACCCGGTTTTTCTCTGCACCGATGACTGGGGACCGCACTCAGCCGCGTCCCAACAACGCATGGAGGGAGAAGGGTGTGGATATTTCACCCAGGGGACTGCACCAAATTACGAATGTGGTGAGATGCAAACCACCATGCATATATATCAACGATGACTACCCAGTGCACCGCGAGTATTCTGGTGGAACAAGTGGACTCCACTCATCTTCCACCCCATACGCTGTCTTGGAGTGGCTTACACACAAATAACATAGCTTTCGTGACTGCAGGGATTCATCTTCTTGGTTCTTTCGGTAAAGTCACGTAGAAGGGAAATAATACAAATAAAACAATACAATTCTCACGACGTTTCAGCCACAACGCAAGAAGCCATCCTCAGGTGAAGAACAGGTCTGTCGGAAAGACAGCATCTGAATGAACACCACCAAGCTTGGCAGCCTATATTTAAGCTGGGTTAGGGGAGGAAGGGCGCCTTGACAAAGAAATTTGCATATCAACAGAGTAATTTAGCATATTTATGGAAAATGCAGATATGGGATTAGTCACCACTTGTGGATTGCGTAGGAGGGGGGGTCTCAAATTCATTATGCCCGTGCATTATGTAAGATTAGCAGCAATGTAATGCGGGCGTAAATGACCTTCCGGATGTGACGTCACGAGGGGGAGGAGTTACGTCACGTGGGGGTAAGGGTTCAGGTCTTAAAGGGGAGAAACCGGAAGAGGAGGGGAGTGATCGGAGACTGGGCTGGAGTGGGGCCACGCAGGGCGAGAGCTGGGGGTGGCGAGATCGCCACATACACAGAGTACGGTCGGCACCGTCGGCCAGCGGTGACCGACCCCGGAGGAACAGGGAGCAGCCGAGGGGGCTGTAACGAGAGCAGCCGGAGCGGCTGCCCGAGAGGACCAGCAGCGGGGCTGCCTACGAGAGGGAGAGACAGCAGCCGGAGAGGCTGCAGCGGGAGCGGCCGGAGAGGCTGCCTGAAGAGTCCAGCAGCGGGGCTGCTGGAGAAAGGAGAGATAGGCTACAGCAGCGACAACAGCGTCGGCCGCAGAGCGGAGAGTCTATGCGAGAGAGCCGTGTGGGGAAAGAGGAGGCGAACCCGAATAAAGGACACCAAGCCAGATACCGTAGTCGAGTCCTTTATTACAGCAACAAAGGAAGGAGGTAGGGTTATCCGTAATAAAGGGAAGGGATTTTAATAGCTGCAGCAGCCAAACCACCACGTAAAAAACTAAAATATAAACTACATCAATATCATCAATATATTAAATATACTCTCAAATAAGCTGAGCTACTAACAGTAAGTCATACATTACAATTCTACGTCACAAAACATATGCCTCCAGCTAAACTTTTTCCTTACATCACACGGATCTACCCCATACTATATACTGCCATAGACAAACCCAACATTAAATTATATACTGCATTACTATACACCACCCTATACCTTGGACTAATACATTGTAATATTACACTATTATTCTACCCACCCTACTGTATACCACACTGCTGTATATTCACTATACAATTACGATACTATATATTACCTTATACATTATATTAAACATTACACTTTTATACTATTTATTATTATACAATCTGCTATACACTATACCATTGACCGTCGCGTGAAAAGTACTAAGAGGAAGCAACGAAATATGCCAATGGGAGAGTGGTGGCAGGAGACTTGCAGCGGAGCAAAGACTCCATTTCCTGCGGAGAATACAAAAGATATATAGTCAATGCCAGTGAGTGGACTGTGGTCTGAAAGTCACCGTAAACGTGAACACAATCAGTTAAGATCCGAAATGGTTTATTACGTCCTTCCAATGATTGCTGAGCCAGAATCCATCTCGGTTGAAATTGTCTCTGTACTGTATATGTGTATCATGAACGAATCTCATGGTAGCCAGATGGCTTGCAGAGAACCTGTCTTGGAGAAGTCAATGTCACGTGAGCCCACTGAATTGTAACAGTGGTCTGCCACGGCTGAGGTGTTTGTCCTACCGTGTTTCAGGTCTGCTTTATGTTCACAGATGCAGTCCGAGACATGTCGTTTGATTTCTCCAATGTAACTGCTACCACAGAGGCAACTTAGTTTGTAGACACCAGGGTACTGTATGTCTGGTATCACATCTTTTACAGGCAGGACCAGATCACGGATTTTATGTACTGTGTTGAATCGGACCTGGATCTTGTGTTTATTCAGGATTTTGGAGATCTTTTTTGTGACCCCCGCAATGTAGAGTAAGGTGATTGTTTTGAATGGCTCCTCAACCGGATCCTTCTTGATGGTTGGAGTGATGGCTTTGCGGATTGTGTAGTCGGAGTAACCATTAGCCTTAAGAGCTTCACCTGAGGACGGCTGGTTGCGTTGTGGCCAAAGCGTCGTGAGAATTGTATTTTATTATGTTTTATGTTTATTATTTTATTATTTCCCTTCTATGTGACTTTACCGAAAGAAGCAAGAAGAAGAAATAACATAGCTGTCAACCCATACGGTTTACCCGTATTCTTGTACCGGGGGGGGGTGACCAATAAGGTCTGAATTGGGCTGTAATAAGGTAGCGAGCCACTGTATACACAGCACCACACGTGTTCACACTTCTCAGCGAGATCACACGAGGCCACGATCAGCTATTAATGATTTATTCTCGGCTACCTGGGAATTGATGTTAAATCAGTATGAATCGACGAGGCTGGTCTACCCTGATACCCCTGGGCCTATTCCCTATTTATCTGCTTACGATACTCTTTCACCTTCTTACTCACGGTTCGAAGTATTCGGCGTCCCGTGGGTTTTCCTCGCTGCTCGTCTTGACACGTCGCACGGACGTCCGGAGGGCAGAGCTGGGAGCCGTCTTGACCGCTGGCTGCTTGGAGTCCGACCTACCTTGCTACCTTCGCTTTTTATCCTATCTCCCCGTCCCAGGGCTCCGCCTCCCCGAGCACTCTTCGCTCCCTCCCGCGTTTATGCGCGGCGCATATTCTAATCAGCTCCATTCTCATGCCTCCCCATCACAATCGGCTTGACTGTGCCGGTGCATGCCTTTGTTATGCCAATTAGGTCGCGGTGTCCATCACAAAGGCTTGCCGTGGAAATTTGTGCACGAGCCTTCCGCGTGCCTCTGATTATTCGTAATTCCAGCTTTTACCCTTTAACTTCCCTAAATTCCCTTATAATGGCGATCACGCGCTCGAGCCCATTCTCGCTCCTCCCCTGCCTGTCTCGTCGATACGTGTGTGTGTGTTGGGGGTGCGTTTCAACCGCGGTGGCCGAGTGCCCCTCGCCGCGACCATGCAATCTTAATGCCTGTCACAGCGCCGTGGTGCGAAGTAGCATCGGGGGAGGTCGTCCAATTCCCTGGTCGCCGGAAACTGTGAAGGTTAACTCCGATAAGGGCTTCTCGGGTTAAAACCGGTCGGCCAGGTGATTTCCCCTCGGAGCTCTATTGGGGGGGGGGGGGGGGGATGCGTGCGGGTGTGTTTATGTGAGTTGAGGTGAGGGGGACGCGGGGTCGGCTCTGTCACTTGGTGGTGGCGAGGTCGGGGGTGGGGCGCCCGCCGAACGGCTTCATGACGGCGGCATCACATAAGTGGTGGGCAGCGACCGCGACGGTGGTGGGTTTTTCCACCAATCAAAGGGCTGCCCAGTAAAAATTTGCATGATAATGTAAGATCGTCGAGCGGCCTCCACAGCGGGCGTCCTGAGGAGGCGATGTTAATGTGAGAGATTAGCATGTTAATGCGGGATCGCAAAGCAAAAATCCTCGAGTTCAGTGAGCGAGGTAGCTGTGTTAGGGTGAGAAATTTTACCTATTAATGTAAAATCAGAGAGCCGAAAACAACTAATATCGGAAGGTGGTAGGATGGGAACATCACAGCCAGTTACAGTGAGGGAAAAAAGTATTTGATCCCCTGCTGATTTTGTACGTTT